TTACACCACATATTTTGGCTGTTTCTATTTTTTCTAAATATGATATTTATTTATATTAAGACACTGAACAGAATGGTTTTACAGAAGCATTTCACTAGCAGAACTTCAATATCACTGAACATCTCTTGCACTGTTTATGACAAGAGCAAACTCGTAAGGATCTTATTTTATTACTTACTGATCCCAGAATGGACAGAAATTTACTATTTAGCTGTTAATTCTAAAACCTAAGCACTGTTTATTGATACCTAAATATCGTAGAGATATACACAGAGATCAAGATGACTTAAAATTTGTTAATACTATAGAAATAACATAGAAAAAATTATAGTATTCATTTTCCTCCCATCATCCTACATAGGTAAAGTAGGTAATATTTTTGGTCCAAAAATTCAATGAGTTTTCAATGAATAAGTAGAAATTAAGAGTCCCCACAACATGTTTTGACTATTTTTACAATACCTGTCTCTCTGACAATTTTTTTTGTCTATGGTAACTCTTACATCAAAAAACTTTCCAAAAATTTCTATTTTCTGTGCTTAAGCTTTCTGCATTCAAATAAAGAGTTGACAGGATTTGCGAGTAAAATTGGACTAGTGGAAGTATATTTTGCTTAAAGCCCATAACATTTTTTAATGAAAAACTATATTAAAATATAATCCAATACTTTTGAATAATTGTTCAAGACTTTTGTATCAATAGGAACAACCAGTGGCATAGCTAGTATGGGGCAAGTGGGGACTTTTGCCCCACACTAGCTATGCCACTGCAGGCACAGAATCCAGGGGGCACTAAATTCATGCTACAAATTTTAAAATGAAATGTTTTCCATTCTTGGAACACAGAAAGGGGCACTGTCCCCAGGCGCTGAAAAACGTAGTTACACCTCTGGGAACAATATAGTACTAAATTTTCACTAAAATTGACAAACTGGAAGTGATATCTTATTTGAAGCTTTCAACAGATTTTCGTGAAAAAATATACAATCCAAAACTTCTCAAATTTGATATTTAAAACTTATATATGCAAATATGACTGAGAACAGCATATTAGATTTTCACTATACATTATAAACCAAATGTGGTACTTTGTTTGGAACTAATAGATTTTTATGAAAAAACAAAGAATCATTACAATAAGAATTCAATCTAAAATAATGCAGCACATATTAAAATTATTCCTATTTATATCTAGAAATGATATTTATATGAAGCCTTAGGTGAGAATGATTTTTATAAGTTTCACTTGCCGAATTTCAAAACTCTTGTAGTCCAGGCATGTTGCCAAAAAATTGCACTGTGTAAGATGAGGCACAAAAGCATACTGAAAATTCAAAAACTGCTATTTCTTTACTTCTTACTGATCTTAGAATGCACAGTAATTACTTTTCAGCTGTAATTCTAAAAACTAATTAGCACTGCTTACTAATACTAAAATTGCAAGGGTATACATGCAGATCAAAATGAATTTAGATTTGTAGATATAGAATTTTTTTTAATTTACAGCAGTAAGATTACACTGATTCTGGATAACAGATTTTGCCGGGTAATTGAATAGATATTTCTAGAACGTACTTGCTCTTGTTTTGTGATACCATCTGTAGAAGTTGTAGCATATGAAGCCCATTGGTAGTATTTTTTTTATCTATAGGAGCCGAAATTAAATAAATGACATTGAAAATCATACAAATTATTTAAAATTAAAACACAATTGTTTATTTCAGAAAAAAAAAACATTTTAAAATTGCAGTATTTATGAAAATATGAATACATGTTTTTTAAAATATGAAACATGAAAATATGAATTTTTTAGTGTGAAGGCATATAACATTGAATGTCTGCTTGGTCATAAGACTGTTGCCATAGTTATAAAAATTTGCTGTGCATACAATCAAGCTTCATAACATCACACACACTTTTCTCAAGAAATCTAAGTTTGCAATTCTTCATCAGCCTCCTACCACGTAACTTTCTTACTCTCTGCATGTAGTATTCATCTTCATATCCCCTCCTTTTCATCATCATCTATTTTCTCAATACATGCCCAATATTTTGTCAGCATGTTCAAATGGGAACAGAATTGTCTACATCTCTCTTCACTAACACTAATCTTCTCCAAATATGTAAATAAAACCAAGAAAATCTTTCTCATTCAATTTGTTATCTACAAACTTTATCATAGGCTACAATTTACACCAACAGCAACATAAAGCTATGTTCTTTATAGATTTCCAGGAAAGACACAAAGGAAATATTGCATTCTGCAGTGTGAATTGTTTCTGAAAAACATAGACACTACTTTCAAAATCCACAAATTAATGTATAAAAAGGGATTGGCAGTTCATCTTAATAATTTGGATAATTCTTTGATTCACTAGTTAGATCAGGCTTGATATTTTATCTCAAAGGCCTAAATCTAAACCTTCAGAAGTGCTATTATTTTGATGTTTCCACTTATGAGGAACTTTACAGTACTATAGAAACCACATTGAAGAAAATTAAATTATGCTAATTATTTCAAAGTATTTATTTTAATATATTATAAATATTAAATGAAAAGGAATTAAATTAATTGCTATTTAATTGCCCAAAAAATTCAGTTTTTTAATAAAAAAGAAATAAATGGTCTTTATTTGCAGAAATAAATGGTCTGCATGTGATTCTTTACTTAAAAGCTTCTTGCTAATTAAAAAATGGAAATCGCAGGATGTTATGTGCTGGTCATATCAGATTTTTTAATGCATCAGATAACTGAATACAGTTAGTTATAGCATTATATCTACATTTATTTGCAAATAGTGATTTTTAAAAATTTTTTTAAAACTCTTTAGAAAATTTAAAAGTAAAAAATACTTTGATTACCTAAATATTAATTGAAGAGTATTTTTTATGCATGAAAATATGTTTTGTTGTATGATATTGAATTTCATATCAGTTTCAAATTTATTGTAAAACATTTTATTACTAATACTGCTATGAGTGCAATTTACAACACAGAACATTTACATTCAAGACACAGAACAATTATATTACATAACTATAATACTTCATTTATAAAAATTATATTTGTATAATTATTATCGTTGTTACAGGTTCTATATTTATTATAACTGGAACTATCAATCATCTAATTTAAAATAAATTCAGTGTCATAGATTTAAGTATTTTATGTCTGCAAACTTAAATTGATTAGTACTATGAAATTTTTTAACAGTTGTTCATTTAAAAGACATAACTTTCAACATCTGATAAATGTCTGGGAGAATATATTTTTCTACTGCATAGAGAACACTTTTATAATGGTACAATATTCAGCCCTTGATAGTATTACTTAAATATGAAAAAAAAACCTATTATTTCATTAGAAAATGCAGATAACAAAAGTGATTTATTTTTCCAACTTAAATAATCATATTACAAGCAAGTTAATTATGCATTTATGTAACTTATTTATATTCTAGTTAGTTAACTTATACTGATTTTTACTTATGTAATAGATGAATCAAATTTGAATTTAGGTTATTTAATAAAATTTGCATGGAATAGTTAAGAAAAATATACTAAATTTTAATTGTATATTAAATATACATGACACATTTATATAGAGATTGTATTTATATTTTATAAAGACTTTTACTCAGTTTAAATAAATATATGCCAATATTTATTCCTATCCATTGTCTTGCGGCTTATGAATTAAAAAGTAGATCAGTATTATCAATGGAAATAACTTTCTTTCGATATTTTATTAAAATGCACATAAAAAATACAGGGTATTTATAAAGTCCCGGACCCATTTTGATGTTTAATAACTCATAAAATAATGACGATATAAACAAACTTATGGCATTTATTGAAAGAATAACTTATATATTTTCCTTTTCAGGTTTGAATATCTTTACTTTTGTAAGTATTGTCTGCGCGTGTGGTTAATTTCAGATTATTCCATTTTCAAGTCTAAATATCTGTACTTTTATAAATATCATCTGCTTATTAATTGTATTTTACTCTCCTTTGTTTTTGGCAACTATTGCAATGTTATGTTTACTTTTGATGTGTTTGTTCTAGTACTTTTGCATGCGATGTTTTATTCGACCGGATATTAAGGAGAATGCATACATCACATGAGAAAGAGATTTTATGGTGGTTCATAGAAACGAAATCCATAATGCAAACACAGAGAAATTGCAGAAGAATTTACTAAAAAGATCCTCCATCCAAAAGCAGCATCTTGCGGTGGAAAAAGAATTTTCTAGAAACTGGAAGTATCGCAGATAAGAAACGTTCCAGACATCCCCGAATTAAAGCCGCAATAGGCTCTATGGATGCCGACATGCTTGCCGGTACCTGGCATGAAATTGAATATCGACTTGATGTTCTCCATGCAACAAAGGGGGACACACGTGGAAGTTCATTGACAAGGCTCATGAAACTTTTTGAGTCTTATCTAACCATTTATGTTATTAATTTTAATCTATCTTTATTATTTTATGAGTTATTAAACATCAAAATGGGTACGGGACTTTATAAACACCCTGTATATCTAATAATGAAGAAGTTGGTGAAGTTAATGTGAATGTTCTGAATTATATCTTGCATTTCATTTTTTGTAGCACAGAAATTTATCTCAGGCATTTTGCAAATATTTTTTTTGAAATAAAAGCATGTCTAATAAAAAATTTGCAGATTTTGATTTAAACATTATGATATTTGCATTTAATGCTAGTATATTTATATCCAGTATATGTCGCTTTTAGGCAATTACATTAGCATTTATTCACATACAAAACTTTTCATTTGAAAATTAATTATTAGTGGATGCTGTAAATTTTCATTTTAGCTGTTTAAATTCTATCAAGGGCTTGAATTTTTCTATGAGCATGTATTTTAGATAAACATGGATGAAGATAAAATTAACTATTTACATGGTAATGTTCATGTAACACACATAATTCAAAATGTAAAACTTTCAGTTTACAAATGAGGGGATTCCACACATAATCCAAAATGCAAATATTTTTAATTACAAATGAGAGAAGGATCAAGTTACTTATGAAAATCAGAACAAAATGTTACAGCAAGTGACATTTTAGGACTAAAAACAAACATTTTAAAATGCACAGTTGTTTTAAATCAAAATTGCTCCCTTGTTTAAATTGCACATAATTTGATAACTTGAATTCGTATATATATATATAGATGTTTCCTAAATAAATAAATAAATTAAAATGATACTAAAATACTTACAAATCACCTAAAAATTATATTTGCAGCTATATTTAGTATCTAATAATAGATAGTTCAATATATGCTGTTGCAAGGTACAGTTTCTACAGATGTTAGTAGTTAAAATACTTATTGTGTATGCCGATCCACAGTTTATCATTTAGTGATAAATATATCACTGCATCATTTGCCTAGTTTCTATGTTAACAATGACAGCTAAAGCCTTTAATTACACATTGCTATGGTTAAGTGAAAAGACAGGTATTTCTAACTAACTCAACCAATAAAGTACAAAACCGCTTAATTTTTTAAAATAAACTTGAAATTAATTTTAATGCAGCTCTATTATTTTAGAATAGTATTCTTAAAAATAATAACTGTTACATCTACCACTCTTTCTAAGAGATTAAAAGTTCAGTGATGAAAGAAATTTAAAAACAGCTGAGGGATGCTTAAAAACAAGCAATACTGTAATAATAATAAAATTAAAAAAAATGTTTAAAATCATTTATTGAAAATTTATGTGTCTTGGATAATTCTAGCAAATCTGCAATATGACATTAAATCTCAGTTAGAAGGATTTTTTAAGGGGGATAGACATTGTCTAACTTTTTGATTTTATACGTTTACCTACAAAATTCAATAGTATATTTAGGCACGGAAAATATAACCCGATATATATAATTTATGACTTCCTTGATCACATCGGCATAATTCTATTATTACCATTTTAGGATCCTTAACTATGTTTACTTTTCCCCCACAATGATGACATTCATGACATAAGACTAATTCATTAGTCTCAATGCGGAAGACTAAATTACATATGCATAGCACTACCCATTTTGCTTATTATAAAATTTATGCTTAACTAGTGAGCTCTCGGCAGGTGTGGGTACGTGCTTTGTAAGAGGGCATACATAATTTGTCCTGAGATGCCCATCCTTCTGATTTTCACTCATTACACTGAAGTTTCATTCTGGTCTCCTCCACTTCCTTTTCTAGAATGTTTTGGAGAGCTATGAGCAGAAGTGACATTAGAAGGAGTAGGTGTAGGGGCATCAATTCTAATCATTATGCCGCAGTCATCTTCATCATCTTCTTCAGCCATAGTAGAAAGACGCTTATGTTCTTCATCACATATAGCATCTTTCTTCTTCCCTCTTTTCTTTTTACTGAAACCGAAATTTAAAAATATCTAGTTATACAAATAATCAAAATATTAAAATCAGTAATAAATATTTTGTTCACAATGTATATAGTTGAACCTCTACAGTGGACACTCTAAATTAATGAAACAGTTTCTGAATATCCAGATCCTCAAAGCTGGAGACCAATGCATTCATATTTAGTACTAATTTACTTATAATGTGCCTTGCCCCACTGATATCTTGGAGTGCCCATTATGGGGAGGTTCAACTGTAATATGTAATTTTACATTACATTTCAGGTATGTTTATTGCAATTTTACATTTTTTGTAACTGAAAAGTCATGCATATATATATATATATATATTTACAAATGTAGGCAGAAGCAATCTATTATTCATTCGTAAATCTGAAAAATACATATAAACACAAAATATGTTGTCTAAAAATAAATGGTTGTTCTGAAAGACAAAATAAAATTGAAAATGTAAGCAAAATTATAATTCAGAAAAGCGATTTGCTTATTTAATTGTATTATGGAAGATAGTTATGTATTATTTGTTGTGTACAATTATTATGTATTATTTTACTGTGCATAAGGTATTCTTAGTTATATTATTTTACTCTGTTTAATGAATTTATATTGTTATTATTTAAGAATTAATGTATAATATTTAGTATTGTTTAAACTTTAACTCAATTATGGCAAAGCCCTTTTAAGTTAGCTGAAGAGTGCAATTCAGAAAAAGGGCAAGACTTGTTACTTCCTTTCCCAAGAAGCGGTCAGTTGTGGCCAGCGGCATTTTCCTCTTTTCACGAGGGTTGAAAACATGTGTTTTGCTCGTTCAGAGGCGAATAGTTCTAAGGGACGGCTATTATTTGACAGAGTTATAGGTTGGAAACATTTTTTTTTGTGCGGGAAAGAAAGGATCTGTCATCTTGCTGAGAGTTCTGAATTTTCTTGGAAATTTCGTAATGGTAATCACCTGGTTGTAGTTGGCTAGAGAGGGTCCAAGTTTCTTTAAGATTGGTTAAATTTTTAATTTTAATGTGGTTTGAGCCAATTGTGATTTTGAGGCGTTTCTTGGTACGTGTCAACCAAGTTTTTTTTAAGCCATTGCATGAGAGGCAATTTTTAACACTTTTTAGCAGATTTTTTCAGAGCTTTAGCGGGTTTGCTTCTCTGACGGCGTGGTCAGTGATGTGCTGCTGCACCAATCAGTGAGCCATAGCGGAGTTTTTTGTGCGAGATCCGACCAACTCTTCTAAGTGGGAGTGGAGAAAAAGGAGAAAAGCGGCAACCCTTCGAGAGTCGACTGTGGGTTGCAGTTGAGGACTATTACCGTGTCCCCTTGGCTCTGGCTGTGGAGGCCTGTCCGAGCCCGTGCGGACTCTCTTCATGATAGACAGCGGCGAAGTGTTTTTCCTGTCCTGCGGGACAATGGTCTTGTTTTCGTCCTAGTATTTTTAGTAGAAAGAGACATTTTCTGCTGGAATGGAATATGAAATAAGGGCGCATCTTCTTTGCCCATTATTATTATTATTATTATTTTTGCCCACTGCGAATTGCTCGTGCCGAAGATGCAGGTTTTGTGATGATAATATTGAATAAAGGGAATGGCTTCCTTTTTCAAGTATTTTTCCAAAGCTTTTCATGCTTAAGATGCAGATTATTCCACAGATTATTGATTGTAGTCACCTTTTCTTGACTGTTTGTCTGTTTTTATCCACAGCGTCAGCACGAACATTTCACCGGATGATTTTAGAGTTAAAATGCTATCGGACAGAGTAGTGCTTGAACCATTTGAACTATACTGAACTGGAGAAAATTTCCCGTTGTGCTTCCCATTGAACTGACTTCAGCATCGGTTTTCCTGACAAAGTTTCGGCAGTAATTGTTTCGACGTTTTATGACTGAATCGCTGCTCTTCGAGTCGCTCGGACTTGTGTTATGCTGAAATCGTGAGTGTACATTTTTATTTTAATTTTTTCTTTTCTTTTATAAGTAATTGTTAACATTTTGGAAGAATTAAATTCTAATGCCTTAGCTGACATTTTATATAGATTAAAATTAGGATTCTACTACTAATCAATTAATTAATAGTTGAGACAGTTTGATGAATAATTAATAGTTGAGAAGATATTTTTTTTATATGTTTAATTGTCATGAGTTTAAATAGAGTACATATGTAAAAGATTAATATGAGGTGTTTCACTATAATTTTGTATTAATGGAATAATGTTTACAATGAGATTGATATGGGGGGGAACTATGCTTTAAATAGATTTTGTGGGGGTAGCCTGACCAGCTATCTTTAATTATAATGTGTGGGAATATTCAATAAATGTGTTTATGATTTTTATTAGTGTATGTTTTCTTTTGAGCCAGCTATTTTACATTATAATATTTCAATTATTTAATAAATGTGATTATTGATTTAATTATTGCACGTTTCTTTTGTGTATTAATTGTGGTGTACTGTAGGTCACCCATGTGATCCTTATGGAAACATGGTTATTTTATCGAACCTCGGTAACCATATTGCGATAATAGAAAAATCAGTTTTAAGAGTCGTGATTATATGATCGGCTTAATTAGTTTATTTGGAATTTATGAGTGGATTTCTTAAATGTGAGATGTATTTTTTCCCTGTGTTTTGAAGAGTTCTGAGTGGTATTTTAATGTTAAGTGTTTTATGGCTATCTCTAGATTTGGTATTGAGATTTGTGTGTTTTCACGTTGGAGATCTGAATTAGTTTTATTTTAGTGAGAGATGGCGTGTTAAAAATTTTGTTGTGGAAAGTGCATTTTCGAATTTTGTTTTGACAATTAATCTTTGATTCTACCAAGACACCAGGGATAAATCTTTCCTTCTTTGATAAAAAGTGTTTTTATTTTGATTATGAAAGTAATTAAGTAGCACTCAGAATTAATTTGAATTTGAGTTTTTTTTTTTTTTTTTTTTTTTGTCGCGGCACCAAAAAGAAGCCAGTTTAGTCAACTTAAAAGCAATTTTTTTTCTTCGTAACAATTGCAGTCATCTATGGAAAGGTCATCTATGGAAGGAATCTACAATAAATTACAATGTAAAATTATGCATTTGCTATTTTAACAGTATTTATATTAGACTTAGTTTCAGTAATCAATGAAAACTATGAAGTTATTTATTATGATTATATTTTAATAAAACACCATTACGCAAAAAGAAATTTTTTTAAACATTTAACTCCTGATTAATCAGACAGGATAGCAACAAAGACACCACATTAAGGTATCTGCAACAGTGAATAATTGAAGTGTATAATTTGTATTATACAAACATTGTTAAATCATCCATTCAAAATGAATTGCTGAATTATAAAAATAAATTAAGTGTACAGCCATTAATTTTTTACCTTCCATTGACTCTTACTGAAGTTCAAGCATAATATATGCAAAACATGTTCCTTCCACTTTGAAATGTGCTATTTTTTATGTTTGTTTAATATTTACATGCTTAAAAATACAGCTAAATTGTTAGCATTTCTGGTTAATTATAATATAGATTATTCCTTTTCCTGTGTTCTTTTAATTGCTGTCAGATTATCCATGACTTGAATACCATGTTATTCAAGTCATGGATAATCTGAGTTAACCATGGATGTCATTCCTGGTACGGTCAAAAGTCTTTAATCCGGACGTCCATAATCCGGACCTCAAAGCTACAAACTTTCTGCGCATGCATCAACGCATAATGCATGCGCGTAATATGTTTACGCATGCGCATTTAATGTATAACGGATGGTATAAGCTAAGCTAAAATTATCTAATTACCTATTTTAGTTAATGTTGCAGATTGCGTTGCTCCTTAATCTTCTAATTGGATCGGGCTTATTATTTTTTGCAGACTGTTAGAGCAATTTTATACAAAGAAAGCTTGAACTTTCGATTATGTCAAAAAGAATTTCCGATTCTGGAGCTACCAAAGGGTCTACAAAGCAAAAGCATGTTTCGATGTCCATCAAACAAAAAGTGGAATTGCTGCAAAAAATGCACAAAGGCATATCCTTTGATTCTTTAACCATTCCGAAATATGTTCATCAATTTCTCGCTGCTCTGCGACGGGGGAGGGGGGAACGTGGCGCGCAATGAACTGGAAGTTGATCTGTCAGCACTATCCTTATCTTCAGAGCAGATGTTTTTATTTTATTCGGCTTATAATTCCTTACTAAATTTAGTATTTCATCTCGATGTATTCCGTCTTTGATATGATTTAAAATAAAATTTCTTGTCATTATAAATATCAAGAATACACATCAAATAATTTTCTAGTTGCAATTTTCTAATTTCGACTATGCGTAATGTATGCTTTACGCATGCGCACATTGAAAGAAATGTTTAATAAAGTAAACAAATAAATATTAAGCTTTTTTTAAATTTTGATACCCTTCAGATCATAATTGCTCTTTATTTCATAAATTACGGTTTCATATTTTTAATTTTATAATTTCTGCATGCCATCTTACCAGATTTAAACTGATGATCTATAATCCGGAAAAACCGATAATCCGGAATCTCTGAAGTCCCTACGAGTCCGGATTAAAGACTTTTGACTGTATTACCCCAATTGATCAGCAGTTGGAATAACTATTATGTAATGTTATATTAACATCTCACATACTGTATTTAGAAATGATGTTGTTATACAGACAAATGTACTTTTTTAAGATTATTTTATTTATAAATTAAGAATCTAATCTTATGCAATGGGTTGTAATTTTCAAATATGATGTATAAAGAATATACATGTATAGCATATCAATTAAAAATAATTTTAAGATTATTAAAAAATATTTTTTAAATGCCAGTTATACATGTTCAAATTAAAACATAACCAACTACTCATTTAAAATTTTCAATTCTTTATAACCTAATATACCAATAACAAATTAGTTATTAGTAACAAAATTATGTTACATTTAAATTTATATAATTTTTCATTAGTTTCATGAAGCAAATGTTAAATTTATTGATAAAAAACAAATACTGATAATTACGTTTTCAATATTGTCTCTGTTTTAGAAGTTGGGTATTGATGGTTTTAATGAGCCTGCTATGTCTTTAACAGTTGTCTGCATGTTATAAATATTCCTTAAAAAAAGAAAATATAATACAAGACATCCCTTTCCCCCCCCCTTCCAAAGAAAAACGTTTTAGTACACAAAATTCATTAAAACTTCCATTTAGAAATGATAAAACAGTATTACTGAACAGGGGGAAAAAAAACTCACGAGGAAGGAGGAGACTTATAATACTATAAAGTGCTTGCTAAATGTACACTGCATACAATTAGGCAGTGCATTCTGATTATTTTTCTTGTGTTTCTGAAGCATTACATAGCTCAGAACTGAATTCACAGAACTTCACATTTTTCACTACAGAAACTCACATTTGTTTTTTATTACAGTGTTTGAAAGAGTTTACGGTTCTTCATTTTCTTTTTTTCTTTTCTTTTCTTTTTTTTAAAGGAGCGAAAGCAAATCTAAAAACAAATGATATCAGAGTGCATAATTCTGAGACACATATGTCTTACAAACTTAATTGCAATGCTTATCAGAAAGACTATAAGAAATATTAACTTGGGAGAGGGGTGGGAAGTAATTATTTTAAATTACTGAAAATATACAAATATTACTTGCAGGTTATGACTTTCAACAGAATAATCTGAACATAAGACAGTTTTAAAAAAAATTACAATAATATCAGAATTTTTAAAAACGAAATACATTTCACTTGAATAACTTAAATGCACTTAAAATTTTTAAATTCCGATGCTGAGTTGCAACTTATAGGATAATTACTTAATTTCTAAATTTTTTTCAAAAATTAATAATACAAAATTTAGTAATATATGAACATACATAGATGACACATTAATTTACCATAAACTGTAAAATATAAAGTAAGAAACTGATGACTACATACATTAATATGAAACATTTCTCTCTTAAAATAATGAAATAAAAGCAATGATGAGAATTAACATGCTATAAATTAACATTTTATAAATAACTTAATACAGTCAAAAGTCGTTAATCCGGACTCGTCGGGACTTCGGCGATTCCGGATTATCGATTTTTCCGGATTATAGATCATCAGTTTAAATCTCGTACGATGGCATGCAGAAATTCTAAAATTAAAAATGAAACTGTAATTTATGAAATAAAGAACAATTATGATCTAAATGGTATCAAAATTTACAAAAAAAAAAAAAAAAAAAAAAAAAAAGAGCTTGATATTTATTTGTTTACTTTATAAACATTTCTTTGAATGTAAGTTGTTTAAGTTGCTTCGTTTTATGTGATAATATTTTCTCTTTAATTCTATAAACAGACATAATTTCTTGTTCAGTTACAAAGTTCTGCCGGTCAAGTCCCGTAATTGCTGTGCCGAGAATACCGACTAACTTGTCAATCGAAATTTTTTCGTTTTCACTAACCTCTCTGTCACCTTCTTCATGTCTCTATCCATTTTTTGCAGCAATTCCACTTTTTGTTTGATGGACATTGAAACGTACTTTCGTTTTGTAGATACTTTGGGAGCTCCAGCATCGGAAATTCTATTTGACATAATCGAAGGTTCAAGTTTACTTTTATAAAATTGCTTTTACAGTCTGAAAAAAGTAATAAGCCGGATCCAGTTCGAAGATTAAGAAACAACGCAATCATCAACATTAACTGAAATAGATAATTTTAGCTCATGCCGTCCGTTATACATTAAACGCGCACACGAAAATATATTCTGCACTTGCACACATGCATATGTGCAGTCGTAAAGGTCTTACGTGCACGCATAAACGCCTATGCGCATGTGTCAACGCGGCGCATGCGCAGAAAGTTTTTAGCTTTGAGGTACGGATCATAGATCATTCCAGATTATGGGTGTCCAAATTAACGACTTTTGACTGTATAACTCTTATAAATGAAAAATAATTAAGCAAGGAACTTCAGTTTTATCTTATCCAAAGGGGACTTGCATAGAAATTGTTGAAAGCTTATCAACTTGTCGGTGTGTATGTGTGTGTATATTTTATTTAAATATATACACATACATAAATGTTGTAGCTGATACTGACATATTAATAATGACGCCCCCACCCAAAGCATACTTGCTTACCTAACAGAGGAGTTTGTCACTTTAGGTTCAACAACAACTGGTATATTTTGTTGTGCTTGCTGTTCAATGCTCTGCCAAATTCCAGACTGTGCAAGTTGTTCTGATATGTTGATTGCTGACTGATCTGGTTCATCTTTGAATTTTTCGACAGGCACCTTGAGAATGTTGCCATTAGCTAATGTAATGGCTACATTTCCTGAACTGGCATTTGGCACCAGACATCCCTATAGAGGAAATAAATGTCTAGAAAATTAAAAGTATTTTTTTCTCTGTTCCTACTTTTTTCCAAACTAGCAGATAACAAAGGGAACTAGAAATTTCAGTTCTGTGTAAACAATGTAAAATTTCAACGATTTTATTGTGCCTACAAAACTGGATAAGTAGTCAGCTTTTATATGCTTTACAAACATTAAAATTAAAATTTTGTACTTATGTCTGTTGTAGTGTTTGCACATATATTAAATGGAATTTTTTATGTACTATAGTGATTAGCAAAATTAATTTTCAGAATGAGGTGTGTAAAAAATAACGTTAAATACAAAAAGAACACTTATTTCTGTACAAATTATATTGAAACTTTCCAAACGGATGATTATTTTTAAAAAAACCAAACAAAATGTAGAAGAACATTGGTTATTATAAAAATCCATTAACATATAACAATTAAAACAAATAAAATGCATAAATTCAACAAAATTATTTAGTAAAAACTGAACAACTAATGGGAACTAGAAAATGCAACTATTAATAAATAATAATTATTGCATATATTTTAAATTTTTACATGCTAATCTGATAGGTTTGCTTACTAACACCTTCTTATATATGTTATTTTTCATATTTTACAAGCAAGTAAATATACGGTGGTTAGTGTATTTGCAGAATTATAAGCTTATTTGTTAAAGCTTTACTACTATACAGTGAAGTATTAAGATTATTTCATTATTTGAATGACATTATTAATGCCTTCAACACTTGATGAATTAAATAAAATATTTTAACTTCCTCCACTTCTTCTCCAAAAAATAGAGCAGGGGTATTTAGTGATTCTACTTTTCAAGAAAAAATAATAGGTTTATTACACGGGAACTTATGGAAAAAATGATAAATCAAAAACATTCACAGCTTACACCAGAAAAATAAATTTTTCTATATCATAATTTAAATTTTGTGCCCACCAGCGGCCCGAACACTGGTAGTTCGGTCCGAGGTTCGAATCCCACGAACAGGCTGGCTGCATGGGCGTTTTCGTGGTTTTCCCCATGTGTAACGTGTATACGAGCCAGTTTCCCTTAGAAAGTCCTCCACGAAGCCATCCCTCCCCTTAGGCAGATAGCCCTCGTGTGCTTTGCCATAATTAAATACACATTACAACATTTAAATTTTGTATTTATTTATTTGTTAAAGGATATATTAAATTAATTCCAAAGTTTTGCATAAAATCTCTTGATTTTTTTTTGGCAGGAGTGCTAATTTTTGCAGTGCAAAATTTTAAACTAATAGTTATTCCTTTTGTTACAATTTAGTTCAGTTTAATATTGTAACTAACATTCTTGAACTTATATTTTTTAAAAATTTAATTATGTAATTTGAAAATATTGTTTCCTTCATAAAATAATGGATAAAACTAAGATGTTTGCAAGTTATATATAACAATAACAAAATCTTTGCAGCTAACCTTTTTTTTTTTGTTCATTTAATATTGAAAACTGTACTTCGTTATACTGCCATGCAATAATATAATTTTGATATTTATATATCCTATTTCTTCTACCTTTTTTCAACAAGGCAAAATTTAAAACTATTTTAAGTTATCAGTATAAAGCATACTTAACTTCACATTTTTTCAAGATCTCTTATGTTTTAAGCAAAGAAGTGATAACCAGACATTTCAAATGCATGCAAATATATATATATATATATATATATATATATATATATATATTAAAAAACTGATGTAATATCTTCTCACTAGCATTTTCAATATTGTTATAACTAACTCTCAGCACGTTAACATTATAATTCATATCTGACTTCATTCATTACAGTAGCTTTTTAAAGAAATGGGTAAGACAATGGAAGTAAGTGCCACCCAAATGACTAAAAGAATATAATTGAAAATTTAAAAAAAAAAAAGGGGGGGGGAATTCTGAAGTTTATTTTACGAAAATGCTTAAAAAATAATATTTTTAAAAATACTTTTAAAGAAATTAGCCATTAACACTTTTTTTAAAGAAAATGACACTAACTACAAGATAACCAAAATGGCTCTGCCCCAGTTAGTTTGGATTTATAGTGTTCTACTTTATGTGTCATGCATGGCATCCATTAGAATGCCAAACAAATATAACAAATTACATAATTGGTACACAGATGTAAAAATTTTTCAGTCCAGTAAACTGTGCATTGAATAATAAACTATGCATATTAGATAACATATTTATTGTCAAAATTTTAGAAACTGTTTGAATTCTAATTAAACAAAATTAAGAGTCTAAAAAATACAATAAGCTTTTTTTCAGGACAAATATGTCAAATGTGATTTTTTTAAATACTCTGTGAGCTGCAAAATATTACAGTTTTTAGTTTCACATATGAATAAAAAAAATGAATTTTCTTTTTATGAAAAAAGAAAAAATTCCATTTTTCTGTTTAATGATTTTAATCTTCATTCCATGCTTGTTTTGATATTAAGACATTATGCAAAACAATTCTTATACAAGTGGTGATCTTTCCTTTTCCCAGATTGCTTCATATTGTAAGACATGAAATAATTGTTATAAGTTAAAGTAGTGTTTAAAAAGATGAAATTTCTGTTCATTACTATTTTTAAGCTTGCAAAGGTGAGGCATGTGTGGTACCTACCTGTGGTGTCATAATTAATTCTGAATTAGTAAAAAGAGCATCAATTTTGCTATAAAAAATTAGAAATTATGATTGTCAATTACCAACTTTAAAGCACATCAAAAATACCATTTTAAAACATCATATCTAAAGGAATGGGCTGTATTCATAGTATTTATGATTTTAAAAACATTATACAGTACAAAGTCTTTAATCCGGACTCGTCGGAACTTCGGCGATTCCGGATTAGGGGTTTTTCCAGATTATAGATCATTAATTTAAATTTGGTAAGATGGCATGCAGAAATTATAAAATTAAAAATATTAGACTGTAATTTATGAAATAAAGAGCAATCATGATATAAAGAGTATCAAAATTTACAAAAAAAAAAAAAAAGCTTAATATTTATTTGCTTACTTTATTAAACATTTCTTTCAACGTGCACTAAGACAAGTAAGCCTATTATTTTAGTTATTTATTGCACTTATTTACTGTACATGCTTAAGGCTTGTCCGAGTCCTGAACATATAAATTCCCACATATAGTCAAAGTTTATCAAGGGCCGGTGTGCAGTCTCTGCGGGTTTTAAATTTTTCTAACAAGTGCCTACCTAAGTTCTAAATTTTTGTTGCCCCTAAATTTTGGGTTCTAGAGTTTTCCCTAAATTCAAAAAATTTTGTCTTCTCTAGATTCCACCACCCGATGCGGGCATACTTGCTCTGGCACCGGGTCAGGGTTTATGTGAATAATAAATCAGTTATTTTTAAGTGAAATAGCACTAAATGTAATCTTCTGGTCTAAGAGTACCATTAACAAAATCTATTTATAGCATATGGAAAGAAATTTTTGTTAAATATTTTGCGAGGTTGGTGTCAGGGATATAAAATATTAGTTGGTGTTTAAAATCAATAATGTTTCTATGTACAATGTTTTGGTTTGAGATGTATGACAACCAGATATGCAGTATTAATAGCACAAATTTCTGCTAATGATTGTTCCCTTCAATAACGAGGTATTTTATTTAGTGGTGAAGTGAAATTAAGAATTGGGATTCTCCACATGTTTCATTATGAGGAAAAAAAATCATATGTACATGTGTAAAGCACACATACAAAAATAAAACCTTAAAAGAAAGGTTGGTGGTGGCGTTGAGGTGCAGATTTTAGATCATTCTGGATACTGAACATCCAGATCTCGGATTCTGTACTATAATACACGTACAGCATATCCAGTTTTTATTTTTGATATGACACTGTAAGGTATGAATAGTTGCTTTTCATACATTGTGCTGCTGTATCGTTTACATATAATTCACACTGAACATCTGCCGTACAAAGCAGCAGCCCTGCACAAAATTCAGCCACGCCTAAGAGGTAAAACTGTTTTAATTTTTTCTGGTAAGTGTTATACTGATGACTATGATATAAGTACGAGTGATAAAGTATGTAGTAATGATATTGACAGTGGAAGTGACATCACCATCTCTTGTAAAAGATTACAAAATATTAGTGAACGCAGTGATGATGATGAACTAACTGCAAGTGCCCTCAATGGCGATAATATCTATGAATTTTTACCTATCAATATTTTCAAATGAATCAAATAGTTAAAATAGAAATAACTATGCATTTTATTCCACTATTTAAGCATATATACAAGAAAATTTTTCAGCACTCAAATGATTACTATTGGAAAAAGTTAAAGAAAAAGTCAAAAGAATTGGAATACCGTGAGAGTACGTGATGCCAAGTTTATGCAATTTCCCCCTTTCTTTCAGCAAAAGCAAATTGCTGTGTAAATGGAGTGAACAGCAGTGCAAAAGATTGCAAAGTATATATGTTTTCTGTGGGGAAAAAAATGTAAAATAGGCAGCATTGGATATAGAGCATTGAAATAGATGTAATGATACTCAAATAAACTTTTTTTTTTCTCAAAGTAGTCAAGGAGTTTTGTAAATACTCTCCAAAGTTGCCAGCAAGTATATTACTTTGCAAAGGAGGTGCAGATAATCATAAAATAACGAAATTATTATATGATAAAACTGTATCTCATATTTTTTGTTGGATCTTTCATTTCATTACATTGTTTAAATTACTCTTCAGAATCAGGAAGATTTAAGATATGTTCAGAAATTACTAAAACTCATACAGTGCTGTTCATATAGAATACTGGAAATTACAAGCTCTGCAAACAAACATCCAATAACTGCACAATGTATAAAAGGATATGTCATGCATATTAAAATCATAAATATCTTCACTATAGCTAGAGATTTAAAGAGACCAACAAAATTTATCACTTTTGTAAAATTCATCAAACTAGTTTCTCACTGCCTCTGACTTAATCTTAAGAATTAATCTTAAGTTTTATAATTTAGAAAACAACGGAAGAGTAGCAAACTGAAACATTACCAGAAAATATTACAAACTAACTCAGGTCACAATCAAAGGATAATCAGCTTTTAGTAACTGTGGTGGTCCTTGTTCTGAATTAGAAACAGCAAATATGTAGTGTATTCGGAAACTAAGTACCGTTTCATTCTAGCGCCGTCGCAGCGCTGTGGTAGGCATCCCGCGCATGCTCACTAGTTTTTCTTGTTCACTGACTTTCAATTGTCGCCATTTTGGTTGCTTTATGTTGTGCTTTCAGTTTGCTGTGCACATTCAAAATGTTTAAGACAATTAGTTCTCCTGCTGACTGTGAGATTTGTGCCGCGATTAAATTTTTGAACGCGAGGAATGTTAAAGCGGCCGAAATTTATCGTCAAGTTTACAGTGAATACGTGATAAGTGATGGAATGGTCAGAAAGTGGGTAAGAATGTTTAATGCAGGTCGAACAAATGTCCACGCCGAGGCTCGGAGTGGTCGGCCTTCTGTTGTCACCGATGATTTGGTAAGTTGATGAAGCAATTCATGAGAACAGACGCTTCACAATGACAACTCTTTCAGAGGCATTTCCACAAATTTCACGTACTGTTTTGTTCAAAATTGTGTCTGACCGCTTGATTTATCGCAAACTGTGTTCCCGATGGGTTCCAAAAATGCTCACTGATGTTCACAAAACAAAGTGACTTGGTAGTGCTCTGACATTTCTCACGCGGTACAGTGATGAGGGAGAAAACTTTTTAAACCAAATTGTGACAGGTGATGAAACTTGGGTGTGTCATTTTTCACCAGAATCGAAACAACAATCGATGGAGTGGAGACACACTCATTCTCTGAAAAAACAAAGGTTCAAAGTGACAATGTCATCACAAAAAATCATGTGCACTGTCTTCTGGGATAGGAAAGGCATTTTGCTTACTGAATTTCTTCCCAGAGTTGAAACCATTAATGCAGCACGATATTGTGAGACTTTAACAAAACTAAGGCGTGCCATTCAAAACAAACGAAGAGGAATGCTCAGTAAAGGAATTATGTTGCTCCATGACAATGCTCGGCCCCATACTGCTGGTGTCACTCAATCGTTAATTCGACAGTTTCATTGGGAGCAGTTCAATCACCCGCCGTACAGCCTGGACTTGGCGCCGTCCGACTATCACTTGTTTCTGCACATGAAGCGCAAGCTCGGTGGCAAGAGCTTTGGATCTGACGATGACACGAAAAATGCTGTGGAGTCGTGGTTATCGAAACTGGCGGGAAGTTTCTTTGACAATGGTATACAAAAACTGGTCACCCACTATGACAAGTGTTTGATCATTGGCGGAAACTATGTTGAAAAATAGTTTAAGACATGTATTTTCATGTAAAAATAAAATTGGATTCGAAAAAATTGTTTTACTTTTTTTTTTTCTTTTTTTCAAAACGGTACTTAGTTTCCGAATACGCCTCGTATTTCCAACTTCAGTGCTGTAGATATCATAATTACCAAAATATTGAGTCTATTCATCATAAATTCTACTGTAATCACGCCATTTGAAATTTATAGCCTGTTGTAGTTTTGACTAACTGAATAATTTTATTTGCAGCTGCTCATTCCTTGGAAGATGAGCAAACAAAAGCATATCAGTTAAGAATAATTACTTATGTAAATAAAACTACATCTGTTTTTTTGGCAGAACACAAGAAACAGCACCACTTGGTTCCCAAAATTACATGACCTTTCAACAGACACTGCATATTCCATAGCAACTCAGTTTCATAAACAGTGAATGCAAACTATAAAATATATACGAGGATTTGATGCTTTTTATGTTAAACCATAACATATTTTTTAAACAATGTTAATAATGTTTCTTTTTTAAATAACTTTCAAAAAACCTAAATTTAATGTCAGAGTTTCAGATTTCAAAGAGTTTCAGATATGCAATTTTGACTTCTTAACATTTGCTCTGTAACAAAATAATTTAGTATAATTTTCACAAATATGATACCATGCTATATAAGTATGCATAGTACAAGCATGCATTTACATAATTTTGTATGAGGAAGGGAAAAAGTTTTTGATCTACATAACATTCATGATACATGAAAATACTCCTGGGCCATATTTTAGCATGCAATTCTGACTGGACAATATTTAGAAACAAAACATCACACTGAATACAAAATTAGGAAAGAAAAACTCATATGTATTCTAAAACACAGTATAAAAAATAATTACCATAATACATCATAATTTAAAATAGTATATGATAGAATTTTGACAAATTTTAAATACAGTCAAAATTCGTTAATTCGGACACCCATAATCCGGAATGATCTATAATCCAGACCTCAAAGCTACAAACTTTCTGCACATGCGTCACTTTGATGCATGCGCGTAAGACCTTTATGGTTGCGAATATGCGTGTGCGCAAAATATGTTTACGAATGCGCGTTTAATGTATAACGGACGGTATAAGCTAAGATAAAATTATCTAATTCAGTTAATGTTGCAGATTGCGTTGTTCCTTAATCTTTGAATTGGATTCGGCTTATTATTTTTTGCAGACTGTTAGAGCAATTTTATAAAAGTAAGCTTGAACTTTTGATTATGTCAAATAGAATTTCTGATATATATTTACTAATATGTAAAGGATCTACAAAGCAAAAGTATGTTTCACATTAAACAAAAAGTGGAATTGCTGCAAAAAATAGATAAAGGCATATATGCTTTGTTTATCTAAACTTTGTTTATCTTTAACGCCATGGCACGCAATGAATTGGAAGTTGATCTGTCAGCACTATCCTTATCTTCAGGGCAAATGTTTTTATTTTATTGGGCTTATAATTTCTTACTAAATGTAGTATTTCATCTCGGTGTACTCCGTCTTTGATATGATTTAAATCAAATTCCTCGTCATTATAATTCGCTTCCGATAGTGGAGAAAGTGACAGAGGTTATTGAAAACGAAAAAATTTCGATTGACAAATTAGTCGGTATTCTCGACACAGCAATTATAGGACTTGAACAGCGGAACTTTGTAACTGAACAAGAAATTATGTCTGTTTATAGAATTAAAGAGAATGTATTATCACATAATAAACGAAGCAACTTAAACAACTTACATTGAAAGAAATGTTTAATAAAGTAAACAAATAAATATTAAGCTTTTTTTTTTGTAAATTTTGATACCCTTTAGATTATAATTGTTCTTTATTTCATAAATTACGATTTCATATTTTTAATTTTATAATTTCTGCATGCCATCTTACCAGATTTAAACTGATGATCTATAATCCAGAATCGCCGAAGTCCTGTCGAGTCCGGATTAATGACTTTTGACTGTATCATAATAATATAAAATCAGCTGAATTATTTTTGTATAATTTTTAAACCATCCCTTATGAAAATAGTAGTAATTCTTGTTTCTATAGGAAATTATGAATCCCAACAAATTGTATCTTACATGCATTTCTTCTTCTAATTTCTTCTGCTCTTCTTCCTTTGATCTTTTGGCAGATTCTGGCATTACATCATCCAAAATTTTCAACTCTCTTTGTGTAAAGCAAAAATCTAGAAGTTTGCGTACACCAATCATGACAACCAACTGCAAATAGCATTTATTAGTTATGAATTAAAGAAAATCCTTTTTATATAATTACTGTTTATATTCACTAGATGATGGGATATAAAATACTTACATAATATAAACTATTCAAAATACTGCAGTATTATTACAAAAGATTAATTGAAAAACATTAGGAACGGTATATTAACAGTTCTACCTATTCACTCTTTATGATAAAACAATGCTACATTTTTTTTAACACAGTAAACACTCCTTAATTCAAACTAATCCAAAGGCCTCCCCCCCCCACAAAAAAATTTGTATTGGAATTAATGTTAAAAATATCCAATTACCATATTTGACGGCATATAAGACGCGCCCTTATTTAGAAGGCCACACACAAGGAAAAAAAGTTTGAATAGTCCGCACGATAGCGCAGTACCACAATAACTTAAAATGAGGTTTCTTTTAGTTCTCGCGTTTTGTAATGAAATGCTAGTATTTTTTTTTTTTCATAATCTGATGGCATTTTCTGTGCAATAGTTGTTTTTGTGCGCATTGATAAGCCTTGCCTTTTCATGAACCTGTAGCACCAGCCCTCAGATCCTGAAAAGTTCTTATTCCCATGTTTTTCTGCAAATTTTTGGCCTCATTGATTATCATTTTGGTTGAAACACTTATCCCAGATTTCCTCTTATCTATCACCCACATTTTTACGGCATTTTCAAGTTCAGAACAAGATGGAGCAGGGCATCGAAGGTTATGTTTTTATTTTTTAGCAGTCTTCAGTTGATCTTCCTGCAGTCGCTAAGTATGTATGATTTTTTTGGTAGGTGGTGGACCGAAATGCCTTGCTGATGCTTTGTTTCCATGCATTTTGGTGTAGTTTAACACTCCTAGTTTATACTGAATTGTATAGCTTAATCTCTTGTTTCCTGTAGTCATATTTTCCAGGGCATTTTTTTTAAAAACAAATAGTTTTAAGCACCGATACCGACACGTTTATACAGAGTAGCACCGATACCGACATGTGTGTTGACTGAGTCAAAGAAAGTCTATGTAAAGAAGGAAAGGCTCCATAGACGTAATGTGACTGTCGAACCTGTTCGAACTTCGACATCAGCTTCAAGCTTTGGCACTTTTTGGCGACAGATATTTCACGCATGCACAAAAATAATTATTGCAGATGTAGAAAAAGTTATGTGTGTCTAGACCTTTATCCGGGCTAAAAATAGCATTCAGTATTGAAAGTTAACCTGTGTCCTTCACGCAGGTAACTTTTTGAGACCAAATTTAGGAAAAAAGTGTGTCTTATATGCCGTCAAATATGGTAATTCAAATTAAATTTTTATCACTTCAATTATTTCAAATTAAAATTTGACAAAAAATTCTTTTCCTTATTTAACGATGCTGTATTTATTATTCTGCATTTCTTTTCTGCATAATGAGACACATGCCTGCATTCCTAAACTATTGCATTTCCAGAAAATATATTTCTGTTAGCGGCTGTTGTACTACTGTTTGTTCACATTTTATCAGTGCCTAAGGGACAAAGTTCCCTAGCATAACTTGTTTCCTTGAATTAATTCATAACTGTTTATGAATGGGTCAGGGTACGAGGAGAATTTTTAAATTTTTTTAATCAATTTTCATCAAAAGAAAAACCAGTCTTTATTACAGATTCTAGAGAGCTGTGTGAATTATGCCTGCAGTTAATGTTAAGTTAATGTGATCTAGTTTTTCTTCTTCAGTGTGTAGTATAAACTTGTAAAACTACAGGATGTCTACATGTGGAAAGTATAAAAACTCTTTTTTCAGCATGCCTACAAGTGTTTGCTATACCTTTGGTAAGAAGATATTGAGCTAGCAGGTACCTTGCATACCAATTATTAATCATCAGGTTATGGTTGGAAACTTCGCATACACCAATTAGCCTTCTGACAATGTCAATGCTTGAATTAGAAGCTTTGTAAGGTCCTGGGGGTTGATTGCCACAATAAATTTCAAGCTTCATTGCATAAAACGTTCATGAGTCAACAATTGCAAAAATTTTCAGACTGTACTGTGAGCTTGTTGGGGATGTATAGAATAAAAGAGCATCTCTCATGAAAGGGTTCCAACTTCTCGTCGATTGAGAGTTCGTCACCGGGTGTATAAAAGTTTTGACAGTTCTGATTAGAAGATTCAAAAAATTCTTTTAGTGCAGCAAGCTTATCAGTTTTTCTTCGCATATACCTTGTGTCTTTATTGTCAAATCTAATAGCTGCACACAGGTTTTTGAATCGCTTGAGACCTATGACCTCTCGCAAAATTTCAATTCCAGAACCGTCTTTTGCCCATGCTTCCTCCAAATTGAGTTTTGACATTTTTTTGCACCCTAATATGAATAAAATTCCTGAAAAGGTCAATATTTCTGCTCTATTAGTATTATACACGCTTCTCTTCGAGATGTTTCGGATATCACCCTTAGTTCTGTTACATTTGAGATAAATATTCATATATTGTAGGATAGCACCAATAATATTTGTATTTATGATTTTCTGAAAAGCAGAAAGCTCATCATTTATATTGTCACAAGTTTCGACACTTGGGAATATTTTTTTCATCATATTTTTTCGAGGCATTCTGGCAAATTTGCTCTTGAGGGGAACTTTATTCTACTTATAAGTTTCCTTTTCTTCTTTCAGAATCTTTTACTCCAACTTCTTTCTTTTTGTAAATTATTTTACAAAAAAGTTCTCATACTTTAAATCACTTATTTCATTTCAACATCACTAAAATTGTCGTTTGCCGGAAAAATCATCTGTTGAAGGAAAATGAGGATGTTTAGAAACATTTCCATCAATTTGAGTCACTTTTATGATCAGAATGTTCAATGACTTCCGATTCACCAACATCAGATGTGTTATTCAAATTGTTGGAGTCCTCATCACCCGAGACTTCTTCAAAAATGCACAAATAATATTCAGGAGGTACAATATTCTTTCTGTACATACTTGGAGGAGCGGCATACTACATTCACCTATGCGACATATTCGCAATAAATGCTTTCGGAAGGAAGGCGAAAACTAGACTGATCAGAAATACCAGATGCATTGCACTCATGAAATGTTTGTAGGAGGATACAGGAAGAAAGGAAGCTTAGGAAGGGGTTATCTAAAAATTACAGCCCAAAAGATGACACTGGCATACTCTGTATGCCAGCTCCTCCATTCCAGGGTTAAGCATCCTAATGATCAAGTAATAATGGCCTCTATAAAGACTACTGAAAGCATTTATTTCGATTGAACGTTTCTCTGAAAATGAACTGAAATGTTTACTTGAAATCGAGAAGCTGGCTGAAAAATGTAGGCATAGTAAACAAAACCAAACTTTCATTTTACAGTTTTTTCCAGAAGTGTAATTTGTATTTTAAATTAAAGTTTACTTTCTATTTCATATCTTCTGCTCCATTTTATGATTAAGGTAAATCTTTATTGCTTTTTAATATTTAATTTTATATAGCATAATACAATATATTTTCTGGGGATATACACACTAGATTTTTCTTCATCAGTGATACACTTTTAAAGTTAAATTTTTTCTCTTAGCATTCTTTTCATTTAATAATTCAAACTCTTTTCTGAGAACCTTTAAGCTTGAATTAATGAGCGTCCACTGTACATAGATAACCTGTTACAAAATATTCTCTGTATTATGATTTAAATGAAAACTGATGAGGAAAATGTCAAGATTTCTGTAGCTTCATGAAAAAAGCTTGGTTACATTTATTCCCTTCAAAATCAGTTACAGAAAATTTTAAAAAAATCTAAAGGATAATCCATATATTTGAAGAATTAAAATAACCTTACATTGCCTCCAGCTTTGGATATTAATCTGTAATATTTCATTCTAAAGGTTCATTTAGCTATGGATTACTCTTTTTACATCTGCTACAGAGATGTTATTGTATGTAATACATGCAACAAAACTAAAGCAAGTTACATTAATAAATTAATCATAATACATGTATTACATAGTACATGCAATAACACCAAAGAAAGTTATATTAATGAATAACATTTAATACTTTAGCAAGTTATATTAATCAAAACATTCCTCCTATTTACTTCTAATATGCACAGTGTATGAAACAAAATACTAGTTTTATTTAAATAATTCAAAGTTTACTTACCATAAGTGGAAATGTTATGGATATTGGTTTGTAAGATTTTATGAACCACAATGCAATTAAACAAGCAAGCTGAATTAAAGTGAAAAAATGGACTCTGCGAGTTGGCACACTACGTAAAAATATATAATCTGGCTGGTATTTTTGTGGCATGAACATTATAAGGATTCGATCAAAAAACTGTAATACAAAAAAGACAACATTAATTACATCATCATTATAAGTTTTTTAGTGACAGCTGTAGACTGGCACTTAATAATTCAATAAAATAAATTTAAATGCAATTTAGATATCAAAGATATAATCACATAAATCTATATCAGTATTTCCCAAAACATGAAATTCAAGGTTAGAGAACAATTAAACATTATTTTTATTTATTTAACATAATTAAAGTAACTCTTAAAAGAAATTTAAAGAGGAAACATAAAACGAAGTGCTTTAAATCAGTTAACTTACACTGCAAATGTAATACACACAGAATGCATTTCTGTTAAGAGTTTTCAGTTCTGTACTTAATGAAGTGTTTCACTGTCACTCTTATATTTTTAAAAGAATTAGTTTTTTTTTTTTTTTTTACTTTTGTTAGGTTCTTTTGGAATTTCTAAGTAAATATAAAATTTGTACTGACACTAATTCATATGCATAATAAAACGAATACTGTAGTATTCTGTTACGATGGAGATATGCTAGAAATGTCAAATTTCCCTAGTTATTTCATGATCACTTTGCTACCAATAAAAAGGATTTAAATTTTACTGAAATATGATTCACTTTTTTTTTTGGTTAGCTATGATTAAAAGTAGTTAAACCATTGGTTTTACTTCCAAACACTGTTTATTAATTTTACCATCAATTATCATTAACACATTAATCTAAATTAGCCACCAGATATTGTGAGTTATCTGTTTTACTGGTATTTGTGCTTTATGTGTATAATAACAGCATTGAAGACTTTTTAGTCTTTTGCAAATACATAAAAAAAAAAAAAAAAAAAAAAAAAAAAAAAAAAAAAAATTGGAAAAGATATATTTAACTTCATTAATGATTATATTTGTAAAACAAACTTAATTGGAAAAAGTGCACAAATTATGGTGGGCAAGGGATAGCGATACAAATTTTGGAAGTAGCTGCAAATGTAACAAAAGTTTCTTTACTTTGTATAGACAAGCACTTAGCTCCAATGTATCGGGTTTTAATGAGTTTCCTGCCACTGCAAATATTGTCTGTGCAAACAGTTAGCACTGCCATGTTTAATCATATTTTGCCACACGATTTTTGGCATTTGAAAGAAAGAGACTTGCTTTAGAACATTGTGATGTGAAATTTGTAAAAAAAATAGCATTATGATTAAGTACAAGGTATCTGAAATGGAACTACTGCTACAAGATCAGAACCATTATTTACTTCCAGTTCTGTTGCTAAAAGTCAGCTACAGAATGTCACCAAATCATGTGTATAGCTTTAGGTACTAATTTTGTATCATATGACACTGTGAAGGTTTGGCATTGAAAGTTTAAAAACAAGGACTATGACATTCAAGAAACAGAGCGCTTTGGCCAGCCTACTGATGTTGATTAAGCCCGCCTGCGAGAACTTGCTAAGGACAGGGTTCATAGCCACATTTTAGTTATAAAAATAAGCACCTATAAGCACTTTTCAAGCACATTTTAAGAAAAAATATAAGCACCTGTTTAATTACATTATACACAACTGCATAACCTTAGAAAATTAGACTCGTAATTTAAAATATGAGAAATGCAGTATTTATTAAGAGAGAATAAGCATTACCTCAACCATGGAAAATAATTACTTTTTAAAATTTTAAATAACAGTTCAATTTACAAAACTAGTTTACAATGAGAGAAAAAAGAACTATGCAGAACTAAACTATATTACAAGATTTAATGATGAAATTTCAGTTCAAAATAGAGGAAATAAATAATAATAAGGCATATTTATTCTATTCGCTTGGAACTTAATAATAAATACAATTCATTTTTCCACTCATATTGATATTTAACTAATTTAAATCTAAATTCTGAACATTTTCTAAAATTTCATTGTATATTAGTTTTCCTTTAACAGATATTGCAAGCAAAGTAATTTAAGTAAAAAAGAGGAACATTTCTGAAATCAGAAGACAGAAATTTGCTTCATGCAGTCATCTTTTAACAGTAAAAGCTTAACTACCTGCATACTTGAAAATTGGCGAATATTTGGACAGTCCAGCGTAACTTGAAAAAAGGAGCGGGGGGGGGATAGACTGTAACCGTTCTTTAGATTTTTCAGCTAAATAAATGCTTTTGACATTTCGATATGTGCATCATATAAAAACAAACCAATGGAACAGAAAATTATTCTGCTTTGCAAGCACAGTAAAACTCTTTTAAGTGTTCATAAACAAATCTGGGACCGAACATCAAAATTAATTATCTCTGCAAAATATCGCAAACGTTATTGCGCAATACATGCACCATAATTCTTCCCTACATGATATTACGCAATCCGATTCAACAGCTGCCGGTATTGGGAGAATAAAGAACTAAATAAAGGAAAAGAAAGAGACTTACCAATCTGCGGTGTTTTTCATTCTAATTTTCAACAGACTGAGTTAAATTTCCGGAATAGAATCATTCTTCACAAAACTTTTAGTCCTATTCAATCCAGATTGGAAAGTGATTAAAAAAAAAAAAAAAAGGTCCGTTGCTTGTTTTGCAGCGAACTGTAACAGTTTCAATATTCGAGATTTTGCGAAGAAAGGGGGAGAACCTCCTAATCTTCGTACTGTGTAATGTATTGGCAAAAAAATGAAATTATTTTGACTATTCGATTACTTTCCCTTTATTTAAGCCATTTCAAATATTATTCCTTAGAAAGCTAATCTGTGTTAAAACACAACCATTTTTGGAAGTTTACTATACTTCAGCAGTTACTGCAACTATGTTATTATAAACATTCATACATATACTCATAATATAAGCATAATGATCATAATAAACACGAATATGAACTGACCAAGCAGAACGAGAATGCAAATTATTAAGATCTTGATAGAAATTCAAACGTGTGTAGTATTTGGGTGGGAGGAAAAGAATGCCGAATGTACTGAAATTTTCTACTCCTTTCGCAATTCTTTGACCAACAGAACGACGGGCACCTGTCTGTACTCTCCGCGCATACCAAAGGTTATGTTAATGCAGAGAAAGGGGGAAAGCTATTTCCGGGAGTATGATTCACCATCTGACATTCCATATTAGGCAGAAAAGTTGTTTATTTAGTTTCGGCTTTGGTACGGGGAAAAATTGCGCGTTCATTTAAAAAAAAAGCACTAAAAGCAAAAAATAAGCACTAGAAACAAAAAAAAATAAGGGCTTTAAAGAAAAAGTAAGCATCTATAAGGGCCTTTATATTTTATTTTCAAATATAAGGACTTATAAGCACTTATAAGGACCGCTAGGAACCCTGTAAGGAGTTAGATATTAGTGCCATGTCCATTAATCATGCTATGCATCACATAAACTTCAAGTACAAGTTCAGTCACTGGGTGCTGCATGAGCCGACTCAAGTAGATAAGGACTGATGTGTTTGGGCCTGCACTAATCTGCTCAAACATCAACAAAAGGACAAAATTCTGAACTGAATCATCACTTGTGATGAAAAGTGGATTTACTTTAACAACACAGGTGGAAGAGAAGGTTGGTCTGCACTTGGTGAGCCTATCAGCAGCGTCACAAAGTGCAATTTGACTAGCAAAAAGATCATGCTTTGTATCTGGTGGGATTACTATGGTATCATCCACAAAGCTTATATCTGTAAAAAGATAAAACCCTCGACATTAAGGTGCACCATGAGAAGCTCATTTGTGTTGATACTGCTATCAAGGGAAAACATCGAACTGAGTTCCGGAGCAAAAAGGTAATACTCCATCAAGATAATTCAATACCACGTGTGTCTGCATTCACCAGTTGAACTCTGTATGGACTCGAATGGGATCTTTTGCCACACCAACCACACAGCCCCCAAACACTGCTCCTTCAGACTTACAGCTACATCTTGCTGGTGCTATTTCCCATTCTCCACAGGACGCCCGAAACGAGGTTGATTTGGTTTTGGATTTGCAGCCACTGAGTTTCTGAGCTGAAGGCTTTGAAAAACTACCAAAATGTTGGTAGTTACAATGAGATATATATTTATTAAAAAATAATTTTGGATACAGTTATAAAAGGTTCAACTATGTAAAATCTCAACCACTTAAATCCAGGTAATTTAAAATTTTATTTAATGCAATAGGTAGTCTATGTATTGTAATTTTATTGCATACTGAAGTAAAGTGCAGAGGAACAGCATCATTGAAATTGTTTGAATGGCATGGCCAGTTAGGGCTTTTCTTTTCATCAAACAATTTGTGGGAAAAATTTCATGGAAGTTTTAACATTCCCTATGTGATTAATGAGTGTTGTTTATTTAGCAGAAATTCTCATATATCATGGAGCTATCATCAAGAAGTGACAAAAAATAAAAAATAAGAACCAGTGCACGCACGCACACACACATGGAAAATATAAAAAATACGACAGTTGCCTTAAGAATACCTGGCGATGTTAAAATCAACGATTCCAGATTTTATGCTTCCCCCTAAATTCATCTGTTCTCCCAATGCAGTTCTAAAACACGAACACCCCGATAGAAATCTATGCCCAGTTGCTTTCCATTCTAGAAAATTAAGATCTTATGAGCCAAATAACGAAATTAGAATGTTTACCCATTATTGATGCTATAGATAAATTTTATTATTATTTACATGGTAATTATTTTACTGAACATACTGACCAAGCTGCTTTAGTTTGGCTTAAGGATACTAAACATACTACAGATAGGTTATTCAGATGGTCTTTTAAATTATCTATGCATGATTTTGATATAAAATATAAAAAATGTTCTACTAATGTTGAAGCTGATATGTTAACTAGAAACCTTATTTGTCAACGTTCAAGTTTACAAGTTAATTTATTTTCATCAGAAGAAATTAAAAGAACATCAAAATTTAGATAATGTATGCAATCCTAAATATAAGAAAATTAATGATGTGTTAACTAAAAAACAAGGATTATATAAAATAATAATTCCTGCCATCCTGCTCTCACAACCTTTCTTTTGAAGAGGGGGAAATATGCAAG